ATAAAATCCACTCATCATTTACCATGGGGCACGTCTGTGAACAACCAGAATAGGCCCAGCCCTCAGGGAGTACATGCTAATGATAGTGACAAGAATGTCAGCCATTCTCATCTTAGCCACCTCGGGCAGCAGGAAGTTAAGTTAGAGTCTTGATCAGGAAGAGCCTGGGTTATAGAAGACCCTACAACCACCCAAAGGCGGATTCTGACAGAGAAGGGAACCAGAAAGTGTGGGAGTCCCTGGAAAGGGCTTGTGGATCAGATACCAGATGAGGGTATCGGGAGCAAGGAAGTGGCTGTATCCAAGGATCCTGGTACAAAGCCCCCAAACATGATTGTGGCCTATGTGTGTGTCCTCTGACGGACAACAGGAGAGTGGCAGAGACAGTGAAGGGGCTCTGATTCAGGAAGGAAGGACTGAGACCCTGGTGAGTATGCTGTCCCTGGCTGGAAACAGAGGCTACTTCAATGTGTCTGTCTCTCGTCTGTGCTTCCTCATGGAGCTGCTTTCTCCCGTTGACGAGCCAGGGTTACTCCAGATGTGGCCTCCAGGAAATAGGATGCAGTTCCCTTAGTTGCTTGGGATCCACAGAGGAAACTTTTGGTCACCTTTGCCCAAGCCCCACCACATTTGTCAACATAAAAAAGCTTTTTATCAATGGAAAAACATTTGAAAGATTATATTTTTGGTACCATGTAACAGGGATCCTAAGATTTCTCTTTACAGTGGCATTTTGATAAACTAACTATGATTTTTCACTAAATTAGATTCTAACTGGGCAACTCTGGCTTTCACTATAGGAATGAAGAGTTGAAGTAGGGATTTTTGCTTTTTGTTTTTTGTTCTGTAGCCTATTGGCTTGACATTAGTCCATATTTTACTTAAAAATTGGCTTCTTTCAGCTCTTTCTATAAAGTGAAGGTGGAAATTATTACTTGGGACTTGGCTCTTTAATATTAAACAGAAAAACCTGATAACCTGTCACATGAAAGGAAAAAAAATGTGAAGAAGGTACAGCTTTGAATTCTCCAGTATAATCAACTCCAAGAAAAAAGCAACTGTCTCTGTAATTTCCAACCCCCATAAGCCCATATAAAAAGCATGCAGTCCAGTTATTAGGATTATAAGCTATAAGCCTAGACTGGTCAGATCTTACACTTATTCCCCAGTTATAAGACTCCTTGCTACTTACAGTTTCTTCTGTTCTATCATGGCTTCCTCCTCCTCTTCCTCTTCTGTCCTCTCCCCTTCCCTTCTATTTCTCTCTCTCTCCACCTGCCCCCACTCTCGAAGACTTCCAGTCCCACCTTTCCCTTCCACTGCCCAATCACAGGCTCTAGCTTTTATTGACCACTTAAAATGGGAAGAAGATTCACATGAAATCACCTGAGTATGTGATCTCCTGCTCCTTGGTGGCAACCCCTCTTGAGGAAGCAGAATTAACATCAGAATACACACAGCATCAGGATAACCCACCACAGCAACACTTTGTGATTGGATAATCTTGGTAAAATCATTCCTTGAACTTTTAGGAAGTACCATGTTACAGTCTGGGGACGTATGGAGCTCAATTGGTAGAGTGCTTGCCTAACATGTATAAAGCCCTGGATCTGGTCCCTAGGACCATATAAAACCTGTAAATGTCACAAGCTTATAAACCTAACACTCAGGCAGTGGCAAGAGAATGGCCAGAAATTCAAGGTCATCTCCAACTATGCAGCAAGTTCAAGGCTAGCATGGGCTACATGAGACCAAACCCTGCTCCCCCCAAATATTCAAAACATAAAAATAAATGCCACTTTCTGTCAAGTGATGGAAACTGCCTCTCCCTTACCCATGAGTCAGGTGAGGCTTTCTAAGGAGAAGAGAGTCGGTGTGGGTTTTCATAATAAACCTGACTGTTTTAGTAAAACTGTATCTGAAAGATCTGGCTACTGGTAAGAGTAGGGAAGGTGGTTCCCCAAACCCTTTTCCCCTTTTCACTCTTGGAAATGGAACCCAGAGACTTCCACATGCTGAGCAGGGGTACCCCTGCAGCCTGTGCTTCCCCTTTCTGCCAGCCCGGACCTCCACATCTTGCACCACTTCCTGTGAAGTGTCTGGTTTCCGGCCTGCCTGCAGGGCTTTTGAGAAGTCTGTGAGACACAGTTTTGTTTACTCCTATCTGGGTAATCATGTGAAAACCTCACAGCCATAAGTTTGGTAGTAAAGTTTTTGAAAGTTACATGTAGAGCATTTATATACTTAGGTTCTCTAGCTTATCTTTAATAAGAAGTAAAAATATGACAAGGGACTTGACTATATTGTAGAAGCATGAATATCATTACGAGAGCTGGGCAAAGATGGGAAGCGGTCCAGCTGTTCAGAGATGATGAGACTTAGCAAATATTTGCATAGAAAAAGGAAAAAAAAAAACCAAAGTTACATTAAGGTAGCTACCACCCTGGAGCTTCTGGAGTCCCTGTGCCTTCCTTCTGGAACATTCCATTCCCCCTCATAGCTAGCGTTTCACCATCACCCAGTTCTTAGAAACATCAGGGAAGTCTTAACCTGTGATCTCATACTATTGACTTCACACTGTTGACTTTTTAACTTGTGACCTCACACTGTTGACTTCAAGCCCCAGATCTGCAGCAACCAATTGACCAGAGCCCTTGGCTTTAGTTTCTTCTTAGCACTTTTCATGACTGAAATCATTTATTCATGTAATCTCTGTTCTCCCCCCCCCCCCCACACACACACCTTCTCTTTCTCTCTTAGTGAATGGCTGGCTAATTCCACAGAGCAGAGATGGTTAATCTCTTTCATTGTAGTAGTTTAGATGCTAAGAATAATGCCTGCATAGATGTGGTAGAAAAATGAGCCAGCAAAAATTGCCATTTGTGGAGTGGAAATAACAAGATGGGTAGTCCTTTTTAGCAGCCTCAGGAATGGAAAAAATAGCATTTAAAATGCTCTTACTATGGCCGGGTAGTGATGGCGCACACCTTTAATCCCAGCACGTGGGAGGCAGAGGCAGGCGGATTTCGAGAGTTCGAGGCTAGCCTGGTCTACAGAGTGAGTTCCAGGACAGCCAGGGCTATACAGAGAAACCCTGTCTCAAAAAAACAAAAACAAAAACAAAACAAAACAAAAATGCTCTTACTAATGACACATAGCTACAAAATGCTACCAATCCACATTATAACTGATCATGCAGAGTCCATGCTTGGTAGCACAGTTTCAGTTTTACTGCTTTGGAACTGAAGAAGGGGACCACTCACAGAGAGAGATGTCCATCCTGACTCCCAGACATTACAGTTCTGGCATTTTGACATTTTTTCTACCACCACAGCTGTACCTGGATGTTGAAGCTTCAGGTAACTAATTTCCTGGCATTATTCTTCGGCATTGAGTCAAAGAGTAATCCTATGAGAAGATGAGCTCAGGGTTGGTCAATTTGGCTCTCAATGTGACCCCGAGGACTCAGGTAACCCCATCTCTCAGCTCTTCCATTGGTGTCTGACATATCACCCAGGCAGAACAAGAGAGAATGTTTCCACCTTTTCACTAGTCTTGTTCGAGCAGACATCAGATTGTCAGAGGCTATGTTAAGGAATCCACCCATCATAGAAAACTTTCCTAGTTGGGGCGTGAGATCACACAAACTGAGCAGGTCTATCCCTTAGCTTGGGGGAGCTAGTTTTCTAAATACTGTGTATGTTCGTTCAGGAAGAGGACAGAGATGTGCTATGGCTTTTACTTGCCATTCTGTCTTGGGAAGTAAGAGGTAATGGTTGGCTAGCATTTTGTCCTAGGTTTTGTATTGTTTGGCTTGATGGACAGAGACTACTTGAGAACTCTGGGGCTTGGTGCAGACTAGGCACCCATGTGGTGGCAATCTTTTGAAAAAAGTCCAAGTTTCTGCTCAAAACCATAAAGAAGACTTCTCATGTCAGTGCCCAGCCTACTGCTGCTGACAAAGAGGAAAATTGGAGAGTGGGGACACTTGGGCATCTCTCTCCTCTTCCTTGATCTCACTCTGTCCTCAGAGAAGTGTAAAATGAGAGAGAGAGAGAGAGAGAGAGAGAGAGAGAGAGAGAGAGAGAGAG